TCCACTTTATTTTCAGTTTTCTGGGCCACGTGTGATAAGGTCCATTGGAAGGAAAGAGGGGGAAGGAGTGTGCAATGTTAGCAGTTCTACATTATAAAGAAGGTGAGAAATAAAAACACATTTCTGAGTGTCATCAAAAAGATGAGTGCATCCTTGTTAGCCTACCCATCAGCATTCCAAAAAGGGAGTTAAAACAAAGGGAAAAGAAATGAAACTAATAGTTGCAGATGCTATTCAGAACATGCTCTTTGCCCCCTCACCAACCCCCCCGTCTAATTTGTATGACAGATAAACTTAGCTATTGTACCTCCCTTCTTAAGCATTCTTACTTGTCAAGACAAAGATGTTGTTATGCCAAACATCTTGCAAGCGGGTTTGTTGAAAGCTTGTTAATGGTTTATTCGTATAATTTTACAGTCTATAGTTTTTGGCATATATCATTTAATACAAGTTGATTTTTTTAATGCATAAGCTTTTGAGGGTTTGAGGTAGATATGGATAGGGACATCATCTTGAGGAAGCTGTTAAGGACAACCCAGGCTTTTCATCAGTTCCAGCAGGTACACAAGAATTTGATCTTTGGACATTTCAAAACCAGCTGACCTGATCCACATGTCCTACTATTGTGTGGATTTAGATATCCATTGGCTTTCATTTTTTTAGACATTCTGACACAGTTCTTGGCTCAAAAAAAAGAGTATCAGAAATATTTTAAAAATGTGTAATTCAAGAGAACATGCATTTTAAATATGTTAGCTGTTGTTGTGTGCCTCCAAGTCATTTTGGTTTATGGCAACCCTGTACTTAAGTGTAAATGTTCATGTGAATTAAGAACTATACTGTAGATTAATGTGGAAACAGGATGGGGTGGGCTTTCTAGACACAGACCAGAAAGAGACTGATTCATCCACCCCTAAATGCAGTCAGCCCACCAGAAAATACTGGGTGAAGAGGAAAGTGAGGCAAGGGGTGACCATATTGTGCCAAAGGTCTAAGAGAGATGCACCCCCCATTCTTCTGACCGCTGTCAGTGAAAATAACTAAAGGTCAAATTTTAATGCAGAACAAAACCTGTGCTCTTTTGTATAACAAAAAGCTTGTGCAGTGCTGTTCTAAACATCTCCTGAAATCCACACACCCTAGCTTGTGTGATAAAGTGTATTCTCATTCCTGAACATAAAGGACCATCATGACAATTGCTTCATGTTACAAAAGATGTGACAGCTAAAACCTTCGTAGATAGAACATACACACATGATACACCAAGACACACTGACCATGCATCTGATAGGTGTAGGGTGCCTGTCCTGATGTTGCGGTGCTGAAGCTTGATCCGTAGCTAATGAACCCACTTTGTCCTGGGGAATGGCTCAGGCTGTCTTCTGTTTTGATGCCTTAGGGGAGCACGGTAGATAAAAAGTATTATTAGGTATCTGCTATTAAACATACACAAATACTCAGTGTTTCAAGTTTTGTTTCTCCCTCTCACACAGGGTTACAATTATTAAAAATAAAACAAAAACAGTCTTAATGCTTGGAAGATTTATACCAGGGGTAGGCAACTTTTCCCCTTTAAGGGCCGAGGGACTTCAGCTCCCAGAAGCCTCAGCCATGTTGACCAATAGTTCCATGTTGGCCAATAGCTCCTGGGATTCTGGGAACTGAAGTCCTTCGGCCCTTAAAGGGGAAAGATTGCCTACCCCTGATTTATACCCTTGGGCATAGTTTAGTAACACTTTATGCATAAGATGGTTGAAACTCTTCTGGCCCTGATTTGCAAGTCCTGAACTAGGTAGTTGATGACTAGAGCTCCTGGAGATCACTCATTGATACAGTGGCTATAAACCAAAGTCAACTTGATTGCAAATAGCAACACAGCATCTGCCAGTTAAAAGGCTATCAGGTAGCTGCTTCCTATCTTGCAGAGCCACAGCCAGTCAGAATATAACATGTTGTGCTTAATGGTCCAATGCTCTTACTCAGTTTAAGGCAGCTAGTCTTAATGTGAATAATTAAACATTTGGATAATTTTAAACTGAAGAATAGAGCACATGTAGTATCAAGGTTGCAGAACAATTAACTGGCCCCACATTGCCTTTGTTGTTGTGTGCCTTCAAGTAATTTATGACTTATGGTTATCCTAAGGCAAAATGTAGGATGGGATGTGGTATGTGGTGGCTTAGTGGTTAAGACACCAGTTCTGACGATTGGAAGATCAGAAGGTTGGCATGATGGGGTTAGCTCCTGTCACTAGTCCCAGCTTCTGCCAACCATGCAGTTTGAAAGCATGTAAATGCAAGTAGATAAATAAGTACCACTTGTCAGTGGGAAGGTAACAGTGTTCAGTGCAGTCATGCTGGCCTCATGACCACCAGAGCAATCCTTGGACAACGCTGGCTCTTTGGCTTAGTAACAGAGATGAGCACTGCCCCCTATAGTTGGATATAACTAGACATTCATGCCAAGGATTAACTTTACTTTTACATTTAAAGCAAAACTATCATGGGGTTTTCTGAGGTTGAGAATATGTGACTTGTATGTAAAATCAGCCAGTTAGTTTTCATGGCCAAGCAGGGATTCAAACCTTAGTTTCCAGAGTGGTAGTCCAATGCCCAAACCACTACGCCACATGACTCTTCCCACCTTGCCTACTACCTGAATTAAGTAAAAGGGGACACTTAACTGGAATTAAGTATCAGCCCAGTCAACAGGGCTGAGATTTGAGGTCTGCCTCTGTGTCCATCAATAAGGGCAAAATCCTGTGGGAGATGGGGGAGGTGGTCTTCTGTGCTGTGGCATCCCAGTATATCTACCCACAGAGATCCACTGGTACCAATGCTTCTGTAATTCTCGTGCCAAGCAAAAATACTGATTATTTAATGAACCTTTTGAGGCAAGATTGATCTCATCCAAATTTGCATGTGTGACTCTTTTTAAATTCTTTTAACTGCTTTTAATCATGTTTACGTGTCTAGTGGCTATTTTATTAGCTTTTAAATTCTTATTATTTTAAACTGTTCCTTTTATTTTATTGTATATTGTTCTGAGATCCTCAAATAATAGGGCAGGACATCAATATTTTAATGAATAAAATAATTTTTCAGCTAAAAACAGTTAACACTTGTTCTAAAAATATGGTTATGATGGAATCAGAGAGAATAAATACACTACAGGTAGTACTTCTGTGTGTGCCAATAATTACAAAGGCAAGACCTTAAATTTTCAGAAGTGCTTTGTCTCTGTAACCCCCTTAACCTCAATTCATTTGGCAAAAGAAAGGATGACAAAGAACTCTTTCAAAAATGATGTGTAGTGTGTCACAGCACAAACCAGAACAGGGAAGGGCAACTATGTAATAATTGCCCCAGACTGCTCTTCAAAGTCCCTGTTCTGATTCACACATTCCTTAGGAAGAAGACAAAAGTTAACACAAACTGGATGACTCTTTAGTTTAGTTGGATATTGCTGTGAACCACCCAATGCAACCACTCACAACATTATCTACATGGTGGGTGTCCAGGCCTCATGACATTTTACCTGACATTTTTACATTTTACTGCCAAGAAGTGCAGCAGATCCTAGTTCAGAGCTAATGGTTAAAAAATGCCATATAAGAGCACAAATGCCTATCTTTCCATGGCCATTTAAACATTAGAGAAAGAACTTATACATCACAGCACACTAACCACTAGATAACAAAATTCTATGCCAAAGGATTTTGTTTGGGCAATAGTGAGTGATTATATGTTGTTATGTCAGACTCCATTGTTGTTAGAAGAGCTTGGGTGTATGCTAAGAGAAACTGCTTTTCATAACGTGACATTTTGTATTCTGATTACAATCGGCAACATACATGCAAACACTCAGCCCATTACAGCCTGATTACGATTAATCTTCAGTGACAGGCTCTTTCTGGAGGCCTGTTGTCAGACAGAGAAGTAACTTGGCACCAAATTAATTTCCACATAGTTCCCGTTTTGTCTAGGAACTTGGGATAGTTTTATTTTTTAGCCAAAAAAACAATATTCCTTTATTGTTCTTGGTTGTCTGCCAGGTGGGATTTTTCAAAACTGAAGACTATTACATGCATTGCTGGTGAGGGATGGGGGAGGAAGTCCATTGTTCAAAAGATGTAGAGAGATAATCTATAGGATTTATAAGCACCATGTGGGCTTGGCTTGTGTATGCCCTTAAAGACACCAGCCAGTAGCCAAAGGGCTAGTTTTCACCTGCTGTTAAGGATGACAACTGTTCAGAATTTGTATTGGCATACATCCAATTGATACAATACACAAACGTGATTCCAGAAAATGAATCTAAAAGTTTCTCTACACTTAACAGAGATTGTTCAAAAACCAAGGTTTTTTTTACTTCTTTTTAAACTATCTTCAGATGTCTACAAAACTATTTGATGGAGTTAAAGGTTTAAAAGTTTGAAATGGCAAACTAAGAAAGAGCATTAGATTCAACTAAAACCTTAAAATTAAAAAAGTTGAATTTTAAGGAGTGCAACTTAAATGCAACTTAGGGGGGTTGCAGACTGCCAGAAATAGTGCAACTTGAGCCCACTTTTAAGGTTAGGGTTAGTGCTAGGGAATCATGGGAATTGTTTTTTTCTGAGACATTGAGCCTTCTCTGTCAGAGAGTTCTGGTGCCACAATAAAATACAGTTCCCATGATTCCCTAACCCTAACCCTTAAAGTGGACTCAATTTGCACTATTTCTGGCAGTTTGCAACCCCCCATAAACTTGCATGTTAACTTGCAAGTAAGCTCATGCAAGTAAGCTCACCAAGTTGAATGGAACCTATTAACAGATAAGAGAGAAAGGGATTAAGACTAAAAATCACTTGCATATCCAAGCATATCCAATATTACAAAAGGTTTCTACTGTCAAAAATCAAGACATTGCTATACAGAATACAAAGACAGAAGGATTCAAATATGCATTCAGTTTCTTACACATCTTGTATCAGAATGACATCCAGGAGCAATATCAGGACTAAATTAGTTCTTTAAATCATAAAACACATCTGGATCCTATTATATTCCACCCCACTCCCACAACTATGTAAATATGCTTTATATCCTGAGGCCTGGATATCTCTGTACTGCATCTGAAGAAGTGGGTTTATGCACACAAAAACTCACAATAAAATAATAGTCATTGGAGCTGTCCACATGGCCAAAAAGGGCTGTGTTCCCCCTGGCCTTGTGTCATGGCCCTGTTTGGATGATACAGGCCAATACCCTGGGGCTGGGATGGGCCAGATCCTGGTAGACCAGATTCAGATCCAGTGGATCTGGCCTGATACTGGGGTAAACAGGGTTTTAACGCAGGTCACATTGAACCCCCCCATTTGCTGAGGAGTTTCCCAGAAACTCTGTGGTAAACCCTGGCAGATTAGATGGTCTCGCACCCCCCTTATCTTATTTTCCTGTTGCCGCTACTGAAAAGACCCCTATCACCGCATCTGACATGGAAATGTAGGTGTAGTCAGATGCCCCATTTCCACATCAGACATGGTGATGGGGGTCTTTTAAGTAGAGGCAATGGGAGAGTAAGGTAAGGGGCGTGTGGTAGAACTAGGTCCGTAACATAGTGATGGGCAGGTAAGGGACATGTGATGGAACTAGGTATGTATCACAGTGACAGGCGGGTGTATAGAACTCATCCCAATGCCACCCCAGGGACCAATCTGGGTTAGCAACCAGGCCAGGAAAGCATGCTGCTCAGCATCTAAAAGGTGCTGCTACATTCCTTCTTTTCTCCTCCCATTCCATTCCTCCTTTTATGCTGCAAGAGACTAATATGATTTCAGAATATTATGAGCCTATGAATACTTTCCTAAAATGTTAAACAGGTGGTGCAATTGTGGAATGGGCTGCATAAACCATCCCTGCATTTAGGCCATTTATTTTTATTTTTTCATTATTTTTTATTTCATTATTTATTTCAAACTCATATTAAAACAAAACAAAAAAAAAAAAAACAAAAACAAAAAAAACACCCCTCATATTAAAAAACAGAACAAACACCACAATTTGGGCCATTAATTTCAATTATACTTTGACACACACACACACACACACACACACACACAAATTTGCTTCCAAATTAGCATTGGTCCATGCAACTATTGAGAAAACAAAACAAGACCTCCACCTCCAAAATGCATTTAACATTCTATGCTGGATATTAACTAATTAATGAATGAATTAAAAAATAAAATAACATGATATCTGTTTATGCAAGTTGAAGTTTAGCTACACCGTGAGTATATAAACTCTGAGAAGCTGAAAATAGTGTGGGCCTTTCAACGTTTTCCTCCTCTGTTAACAACAGTATATAGCTGAAAATGCACAGCTGGTTAGAGGACTATGAGGATTGCAGGCCAACACATCTGGAAGGCATCATTTTGGGCAGGGGTAGGCAACCTTTCCCCTTTAAGGGCCGAGGGACTTCAGCTCCCAGAAGCCTCAGCCATGTCGGCCAATAGTCCCATGTTGGCCAATAGCTCCTGGGATTCTGGGAGCTGAAGTCCCTCGGCCCTTAAAGGGGAAAGGTTGCCCACACCTGATTTTGGGGAAGGCTGACCAGAAGGTTTCTGGGCTTTAATCTGACATTGTCAACTGTTCATACTATACAACCCAAAGCAACAAAAATTTCAAGCCACCATTTCCTGACACCATTACTTGAAAGATTGAATATCAATAATATAAAAATCCTATTGTTACTCCCAAAGAAAGTACCGTAGACTAAACTGAAGTAAACCATTGAATTGATGACATTTACTTACATATTGAGTCAAAAATAAACATTTAATTCAAAGGATCTAACCAACAAAATTTAGGTGGTTTTGTCTAATTCTTTTGTACTTGACATGTAAGACAAATCTCAGCTGGCATTCTGCTTAGGACTTACATCTTTGTAAATGGCTTTATGTGAGTGAAACAAATCAATTGAGTAGTTCCACAACATACATATTCATCTAGGTGCTCCCTAGTGAACATCCATCCATCTAAGAAGTGCTGGATGACAATAGAAACACCCATTATACACCAAAAGAGCCCACTGCCAGTGCCAGTGCCTGGATAGACATCTTCACAATTCACTAACAAGCTTTTGTTTGTAGTTACAGATTAATAAAGTTATAAAACTTAGACTCAGATGTAGGATCAAGATCCTCTAATGCAGGGGTAGGCAACCTTTTTGAGCCGGGGGGCAGGTTACTGTCCCTCAGACAATTGGGGGGCCAAAGCATAATAAATAAATAAATAAATAAATAAATAATTTTTTAAAAAATAAAAAATATATGCATGCACACTCTCTCAGCCCCAGAAAAGCCATGGCAAAACCCCTGTGGAGATTTTGCCAAGAAAACCCCAAGAACAAGTAATAACAACAATAATCAATATCATCATTGCGGGGGGCAGGGGGCAGCAGGACCAGCCTGGGGCCGGTCCAAAGGCCTCAGGGGGCCGCATCCGGCCCCTGGGCCTTAGGTTGCCTACCCCTACTCTAATGTAGACTTATTGACTCCACTTTTGTCAGAACTTTGAAGTTACATGTGTTGACTGGGCCAGAATTAGAGCTTCCACTCTTCTCTAGCTTAATAGTATTGAAAAGCCTTTT